CCAACTGCTCTCTGGAGTTGGAGTTCTTAAAGCTGCATTTTACTGCCTGTTGGGAAGTAGAGACAAATGAAAGAGGTGAGAGTGTTGTTGACATCAAGTCACTTACAATGAAAAAAGGCAAGGTCCTCTTAGGTTCAGGCCTCTTCTGGTCCCCACCTTCTATATTCATGTGCCCCACAAACTTAGGGCATCCTCAAAGCTCTTACTTTTGAAGAACTCTCTGACACTGCCTACTGCCACTATTTCAGACTCCTGTAGGAGGGCAGGAGGGCAAGAGACCTCTGCACTGTTAGTACTCAGCTTTCCTGGGATCATAGGCAATGAAAACTTTGTATCTATTTTCCTCTCTCTTTTCATCTAATTCTCTAATCTCCTTTCCCTTAGGGTAGCATTGACCAGTGCTAACCTCTGGCCAAGAAATGTCAATTTTTCTAATGTTTAATGAGAGCTAATGATTTCAAGGCTAATAAAGTTCTGGAGGATCCCTGTTGTCAAGAATGGATCATTAACTCTTCACACAACTAGTGAATGACTGCAGGATTAAATTTCTCATTAAGTATGCTGAGGCCAAAGCCTTTGAAACAAGCAACAAGATGCATTCAATTTATGAATAGATGTCAATGGGCTGCCCCACTGCCATTGGGAGAAATGAGCTAATTTCTCATCCTACAGATGCTGGAGAGGATTTCTTATTCCCTTTGTGCTAAAATAAACATTCCTAAGGAGACAATTTTATTTCAGAGCCCTCTAAATCAATCATATCTTCCATCTTCACATGTCCATTAAAAATAGGGGCCATCCATCATTGTAGAAAAGCTTTGCATGGCAAAGCCGAGCAAGTAGGCGAAAGCAAGATTACAGACCTCAAATTTAACCAAGAGTATTAAAAAAGCTTTCTTATAAGTTCCTACAACCAGAATTTATAGGTGAATTAGGTAATGAGCCAGTGCAGCCAAAATATTCTTATAGTGCCCATACATAAATCCATAAAAATTCTTCCTTTAGAGATAGATTTGTTATTGGAGGTTTAAGAGACACATTCATTCTTGGGGACTTAAGGTTTTCCAACTATTAAAATAGAAATATCCTACAGTTAGAGGAATAGTGATTATAAAAGCATGATGTTCTAAAGCATTCATGAAACCACTCCTGTTGCTTAATTGTATTTCTAGTGTGTGATGTGTTTTAATAAATTGGATGAGGCCAAGAGGCCTTCTATTTCAAACTTCCCCTGAGCTTACCAATCTTCTCTGCAATATCCCTGACAGGTAAGGCCCCAAGAGATGACTGGTAACTCTGCTTTCCAAGGAAGCCCACTGTGCTGCAAGTGCTTCAAACTGAGTCCAAATTCACTTCCTTAGAACCTCTATTCCTTGGCCTTGGTGCTACTTCCTGGACCTTCAATCTGAAATTAAAGCAAATAGCATCCTGCTCTCAGCCCTTGACATAAAGGAAAATAGTGTTGACAGATGTGAAATTTCCTTTTTATGTGTTGGCAACTAATTTGAAAGCCTTTAAAAATAGTCATTGGTGAGAAATTGGAACTCTTTTTCATTACTGGTAGAGATGTAAAATAGTAAAGCCACTGTGGAAAACAGTATGGCAGTTTTAAAAAATTAGCAAAGAATTACCATATGGACCAGCAATTCCACTTCTGGGTGTATACCCCATAGATTTTAAAGCAGGGATTCAAACAGATTTGTACACTCATGTTCATAGCAGCATTATTCAAAATAGCCAAAAGGTAAAAACAACCCAAATGTCCATCAACAGATTAGTGGATAAACATATGTGGTATAGCCATACAATGGAACACTACTCAGCCTTAAAAAGGAAAATACCTACACATGCTACTACATGGATGAACTTTGAAAAAACATTATGCTAAGTGAAATGTCAGACACAAAAGGACAAATATTTTTCTATTCCACTTATATGAGGTACTAAGAGTAATAAAATTCATAAATACAGATATAAGAATTATAATTACCAGGGGTAGGGGGCAGAGATGAATGAGGAGGTATTTTTTAATGGGTACAGAGTTTCATTTGAGGAAGAACAAAAAGTTCTAGAGATGGGTGGTGAAGATAGTTGGAGAACAATGTGAATATCCTTAATGCCATTAAAGTAGACACTTAAAAATGACTAAAGTGGCTGAAACCGGTTTGGCTCAGTGGATAGAGCGTCGGCCTGTTGACTGAAAGTTCCCAGGTTCGATTCCGGTCAAGGGCATGTACCTGGGTTGCAGGCACATCCACAGTGGGAGATGTGCAGGAGGCAGCTGGTCGATGTTTCTCTCTCATCGATGTTTCTAACTCTCTATCTCTCTCCCTTCCTCTCTGTAAAAAAATCAATAAAATATATTTTAAAAAAAAAGATTAAAAAAAATTAAAAAATAAAAAATAAAAATGACTAAAGTGATACATTTTATTATCTATACTAGTATTTTACCACAATTTGAAAACGATCCTGGTAAAATCTGAATAAATTCTGGAGCTTAATTAATAGTAAAATAAAATAGTATTTGGTTTTACAAACAAAACATGCCTGTATGACACCAAGAACTGGATCTAATTCTTTTGCCTGCACCACATGCAACAGACTGTCACTTCCCTTGATCCAGAGCATAGATTTTAATAAGCACAGACTTAATCTCATACTCTAAGACAATGACACTTTTTGAATACTTGTAACATGAAAGGCATTGTTCCAAGAACCACTCACTTATTAACTCACTTAATCCTTCACAACCCTGTGAAGCAAAGAATGTTATTAACCTTATTTTACTGAGGAAGAAGCTGAAGCATGCCAACAGCATCATGTGGCTTCTAAAACATTCAATACATAATAATCTTGAAGCCCACTAAAAACCCCAGACTTTTTTTTTCCATTTCCATGAACTAATGCTTCTTCCCCGCTGCTGTGATAATTCTGTTTTCTATTTTACTGGTTATTCCACCCAACATGGAATAAAGACAGAAGTGAGCTTATCAGGTTTTCCCATAGGACAAAAATACTGGAGAAAACAAATATTGCTAGTCACATAGCATACTAATATATGCACTCCAGAGTCATTTGGTGCCTAAAGCCAACAATGTGGGTGTGGGGTCAGCCAGTTCAAGCCCACATGGTAAGCCAAATTAGTCATTTGTGCATCAATGTAATTAAATGTTGCAGCTCCTATGTAAATAGCTTTTAGTAGGGAGAGATAATCTTGGTTAAACTTGGGAAGGAAAACATCCACTGATCAAGTGAGCAACACTGAAAGGTTACTAGAGAAATACTGAACAATAAATATCTTGCTAGCTATTCTGACACTGGCTCGCACTGCCAATATGTTTGCATTTCATCTTTGCCACTGGCAACTCTCTCAAAATCTTAATTGTGTCCTCTCCCAGTGCTAGGTTATGAGACTATGGCAATAGTACTAAAAAGCCCAGCCTCAATGTCTGCAAAGAAGAAAACCAAAACAGCAAGAGATCAGGAAAGCATTTTAGGAAAAGAATAGCTAAAGGACCTAGGATATTAGTTTGGAGAAGAGAAGGTTTAGTGCCACTAGCCTTGTTAATAATAGAATAGCAGTAGCAATGGTTGTACTGAGTGCCAAGAACTGACCTATGCACTGCCTATGCATCACCTCTTTTTTATTGTTGACACTATTACAGATGTCCCCCATTTCCCCCCTCTTTGCCCATCACTTTTTTAAATTTTCACACACACACACACACACACACACACACACACACACACACACACACAAACTATAAAGAAGGTATATTGTTACCCTAGCTTACAGGCAAGATAATGTTAGGCTAAGAGAGGGTAAGTTTGGAAAGTGAGTTAAGTAGTCAAACTTACCACACTACCTGATTACACACTCCCTGTTTACCCCTATCACCAAACCCTGTTTGCTTCTTCCATAGCAATTCCTAAAATTTATATTTATTTTACATTTTGCTCATCCACTAAGGAGGCTATAAACTCTAAAGGGGCAAAACCATACCTAGTTTTTTCCACATTATATCTCTACTCTTTAGCACAGTGCCTGTATATTCCTTGGCACTCAATAAACACCTATGGGAGGAAGGAAAGCCAAGAAGAAAGGAGAAACTAAAACTCAGGTAGATCTAACTCCAAAGCTTGTGCTCTTAATCATCAAATTACATCACTGCTGAATTGGCATAGGCTACCAGCACCAAATTTTGGGCAACACTCTGGTTTAGTCATCTGCAAAGTTCACAAAAAATCCAGATCCACGTGCTGTGTGAAAGCAGCCAATTCAACAGCAGACAGACCTCCTAAGACAGTCTATTAAATTATGTCTTACTCTGTTGGTCACCTCCATGGTCATTTCCTATGCAGCATGGTTCTAACTAGAATAAACATTCTAACGGTGCATCTTGGGTTGAGGTTCACACAAAAAGGTTTATAATTTTCTTCAGAAGCAAATATGCCAGTGTACTTTTCCTGCATTTCAGCAGCACTGATACAAGAATCATTTATTTCACCCTCTGTCCCTCTGTTTTAATTAGTCCTCTTTTTAAGCTCCTCGGTGGCTTTGCTATGAAAAACCATTAAAAGTGAAAGACTGTTTTCCTGATTAAATCCCCTCCCTGCACTTCCAAACCTTCACTTGTCTATTTATGACTGTGAGCTTCATTTTTCTAAGTTCTATTTCTAGGCCACTAATATCGTCTCATGCAGAGAGATGTATTCAGCTTTCCATGTGGTGTCATTTTCTGAAAAGGGTGAAATCTCATCTCCAATGCCTTACTATTCTTTTTTTAAAGAGAGTTTGAGAACACATAAACCAACTGTTTTTGAAGGAATTCTTTATGCTCTTGTCATTTCTATTACTGTATTCTAATGGTGAAGAGTTAATATATTTCCACGGCATAGTGGAGATAGTTCTCAAAGAAAAATAGCTCTCTTTCAGAGAAACTTGTTTTCTAGGACTTGGTGAAATCCAAGCTAAAATGCAAATATTTTTTCCCCTCAAGTTCTCACAGGAGCTGAAAAATCTAAGACCTGCTACTAGAAACATTTCCCCCCCTTGGATCTGATGCCCTGAAAACCATCTGAAAATTTTGGTTGGAACTTTAATGAATGCAAATCAACTGACTAGGTCACTTGCTTGTGTTGCTGTCTTTGTGGAGTCCCCACTGGCTTAGGAGAGCTCAGCTTGTACCTGGGATGAAAAGGTAAAGGGATTTCTGATTTTCAGGAAAGTAATTACATGAATTTTGGATAAGATACAATGAAAATGCAGTAGTGTACAAGAAATTAAAATATTACTTATGTATGTCAATATCTTCAATGTTCTTGTTATCTCTGAACTAAGTCATACAGAACCTGTCATGACTTCATGTTGTCACACAATCCAAGTTATGTTATATTCTGTAGCTTAGGAATGATAAAAGCTGTCATTAAATAAGTAATTTTTCAGGCACTGTGCCATGTGTTTTCATTTATTGAGTTCTTCAGTCTTCACAACAACCCTATGATGTAGCTACTATTACTATACTCATTTTATACATGCAGATGCTGAAGTACAGAGAAGTAAATAACTTGCCCTATGATCACAGAGCTGAAATACAACACAGGTCTTCTGACTCTGAACACAATACACATAGCCACTATCTTATACTGCTTCTTGGATAAGACAATGAATACAGGTTGAAGAGGGATAGATGAAAAAATTTTAGAATATGAAATTATTGTGGTGCTGTTTTTACAGGAAAGCAAACTCTAAGAATATAAATAATATAAGCCAGCTTTAAAATAAAACTGAAACATTATCCTAATGTCTAGGAAACGACTTTTAGAAAAAAAGAATGCAGTTAACATGAGAATTTCCAGAACAGGAAAATCTACAGAGATAGAAGTAGCTGGGTGGGAGCGGGGATGAAAAGTAACTGCTAACAAGTTTGTGTTTCTTTATGGGATGATAAAAATGTTCTGGAATTAGATAATGCAAATGGTTACACAACTTTCTCAATATACTGAAAATCACTGAATTATATGTTTTAAAATAGCAAATTTTATAGTATGTGAATTATGTCTCAATAAAGCTGTTACTTTTTTTAAATGAGGTGACAATGAAATCAGAAGGCTTTGGAACATGTTGGCAGAAGTTTGCTTCAGAGATAGAGATCTGAAAGAGCTGGAAGTTCAAGGTTATAAGCTACCCCTTTGGAGACACCAAGAACTTTATTCCCAAGCTTGCCAGGACACCTAGAAGACAGTAACACTGCCTGACTACCCTGCAGTGCCTCCTTTCAGGCATTTGTATATGGGGTGGAAGTGGGTGGGGAAAGGGTATAGAGTTACATTGAACCTTCTTTCTTCTTTCTTTTTTTTATTTTAAATCTTTATTATTGAAAGTATTATATATGTTCTCTGTTTTCCCCCCATTGACCCTTTCTAGCCTGCCCTCGCCCCCCCTCCCCAGGCCTCCATCACGCTATTGTCTGTGTCCATGGATTATGCATATATGCATACAAGTACTATGGTTGATCTCTTCCCACCCACCCATCCACACCTTCCATCTGAGATTTCACAGTCTGTTCTATGTTTCTGGATCTATTTTGCTGAAGAGTTTATTTTGTTTATTGGATTCCACATATGAGTGATATCATGTGATATTTGTCTTTTTCTGACTGACTTATTTTGCTTAGCATAATACTCTCCAGGTTCCTCCATGCTGTCTCAAAGGGTAAGATATCCCTCTTTTCTACTGCTGCATAGTATTCCATGGTGTAAATCTACAGATTTTTTTATCCACTCATCTACTGATGGGCTCTTGGGCTGGTTCCAGATCTTACCTATTGTAAATTGTGCTGCCATGAACATAGGGATGCATGCATTCTTTCTGATTGGTGTTTTGGGTTTCTTAGGATATATTCCTAGAAGTGGGATCACTGGGTCAAGTGAACCTTCTTTCTTTAGGTGCATCTTTGTAAACAGGTTGATCTTATTCCTAACCCAATCCTATTTGTAGAGAGCTAATTGGTGCATCAATCTTAAGGTTTATGTTGCCATCACTAGGAATAGAGTATGAGTGTCCCGTGAAGTGATAACAATAAAGGATTGAGGATCTAGATAAACCACAATACACTCCTTCAGTTTCTGATATAATGGTAGAGGTTGGCTACATATCAAGGTTGTTGAAAGAGGCTAAAACATAGACCTTTATCTCAAGGACTTCTATAGGCAGTTGAATTATGCTCCTTAGGTCAGTTTCTGGCCTAAAACAAGGTAGTGTATCTATGGTTGTGTTTTCACATACACACCCATAATTTAACCTGTTTTGAAGCATCTGAAAAGGTTTCTTTATCTAGCAAGACATGTTGAAACTGACTTTCTCCCTTGAGTAGAGGCTCAGTTTAGTTGCGGCCACAGGTATATGACAGCTACATTGGTTTTTGCAGTTTCTACAAATGGTCCCTGCTATTGGCTGTCATTCTAGTTCATGGAAATAATCTCAGTGAAGATGTCAAGGATTTTACTTTTTGAATTTATTCCTAAAAGAATACAGATAAACTGTTGCCAAGTCACCTCCTGTCCTCATACCTATTCACTATCGTAGGGACATAATCCTGCAGACAGAACAATATCTGGGTTTGCTTGATGATGGTGAGGCATGTCAGATCAAGCACATCTTCTGAACTGGCCACTCCCAATAGGTTCTGTTTCCCAGCACTGCAGAAGTCATAATTTGTATTAGTACCAATGATTTATAAAGAAACAAGAGGAACGCAAAAATCTTCTCTACACAAACAATTACTCAGTGACCTTCACAGCTGAACTCCTTTCCAACTAATAGCAGTTTGGAATTAAGCCCCATCCATTAATTTCCAGGGAACTTTTCTCTGGTATTGCAGTAGATGCTTTTATTTAATATTCTACTTTAGTGCCACAAGTCCCTGTTTTGAGCAACTGAACAATGTAATGGTCTAATATCTGTCAAATGGGACATATTCTCAGACCATGGATATCAATGGAGTCAATTTGCATAGGGTCTCTGATTTCTATCACTACTACTAAATATATATTTAGAATGAGCATCAGCTAGAGGAGTTGTGCCCGGTGTTTGACCCTACATTTCATTCTATTAAATCTCTAATTCAATAGTTCAAGCCATGTTTAGAGCCCCAGGATTCTATCTACAGTGGGTCTTAGGGGGCCTTTAGAGAAGTTTCAAGGGACAAGAATGACTGGGCAGGCTATATCCCCTGCTTCACCAAAGCAATTTCATTTTTATCTGATTTATTTGGTTCAACAGAAGACTTTACTTGAAAAATATGATGCTACTCATGGAAAATATTAATTTTATAATCCATTACACAATCAATCCAGACATGATTGACCATGAACATGGATGGATTATCCAAGTAGTGAAATTGGAGTGTCAAGAAGAACTCCATATTCAATAGTACATGGTTAATTTTTCCATCCACTAATTTCTCACATCAATTTTTAAGCATTTTTAAGATAGCCATAAGTACAAAGAAAAAAATAAAACAAGGTAATGAAATTGCAATGGAATAGCATTGCTTGAGTGGTGAGTAAAGAAACTATGTTAGATAGGATGGGAGATCATGAAAGACCCTCAGGATGTGACATTTGAGGTGAGATGGTATAGAGAGAAAGACAATTCAGTGGGAACTCAGTAAGTTGGTGCATTATACATAAAGTGACTCAGGTTAACAACTGAGAGATAGTTCATGCAGCCACCAAAGGAGTTTAGGCATGGGTTGATTAACATTTTCAAAATATTAGTCCAGGGGCTGGTTATAAAGGAGGGCAAGAGAGGAACTATTAAAAGCATTAAGGAGACTATTACAATAGTTTAGTTGAGTGATGATGTTGACTAATTAGAATGGTAATAAGAAAGACTGAGAAAAGTAGATATATGTGGAATATACTTACAGAGATAAGGTTGAAAGTATTTGATGATGGATTGAATGTGAGTTGTGAGAGATAGAGAAATCAAGAATGATTCTTGTGTTTTAGGGTTAAGCATTTTGGATAATAGTAGTACTGTTAAGGTACTTTATGCAGCAGTGTAAAGAACAGAGAGGTTTGACCAGGGAAGAGGAGAGAAGTAGAGGACAGAACCAAGTAAATTATTTTTGAGCATATTTTGTTTGTGATACCTGTTAGACATCTAAGAAATATCAAGAAGTCAAATGAATAGAGGCATCTGAAGTACTAAGGAGATACAAATTTGGATGTCATCAGCATAGAGATTATATAAAAGTCATAAAAGTAAATGAGATCATCTATGTAATGAGTATAAAGAAGGCAGATCACATTTAAGCACTAAGGAATTCCCAATTTTAGAAGCCAAAGAAAGGGGAGAACCAACAAAGTAGCAGGAAAAATGCATTCTGGCAGGAAGGAGAAAAACCAGGAAAGTGTGGTCATTAAAGTCTAGATAGAAAAGTGTTTTAAAAAGGACGGCGTGTTCACCTGTGTTAAATGTTTCTGAGAAATAGAGTAAGGTAAAGACAGAAAAGTGATTATGTAATTTTAGGCTTAGGCTAATGAGTAGGAAGATTTGGGGAGAAGTAAGTCATTACAGTCTTCCTGCCCTTTCTGAAATCGTGTTACTCAGGTGGCTACACAGTCCATTTATACAGCCCACAGTACTCTGAACAACTTTAATCATCTGCTTTACCTTTGACACAAATCCTTATATATCTTGAAGTCCTTGCCACGTAGTCAGTATTCAACAAATGTTGGGTGGATGGGTGAATGGACAAATGGATGAATGGATGGAGGGATGAATGAGTGAATTGGTGAGTGAAGGGATGAGTAAATGGATGAATGGATATCATGAATATGCTACATATAAGTATAAATCTTCAAAGAAGTACTGAGTAATAGAGGATAAAAGGACCTGAATGATCTTTTAGTGCAATCATCATTTTTCATAAATTTAGAAACTCAGCACAGAAAAAGGAACGTGGCCTGGTAAAATCTCCAGTTAGTGACAAAATCAGGACCATAACCTTGGTCACCCAATTCCAAGTCATTCATTTACTCTCTCATACATTCATTGAACCAATATTTATTAGAATCCTGCTGTTAAGGTAGGTACCTAGTTAATTATTAATAAAGGAATGGAGAAAATGGAATCAGTTATTAAATGTGATTAAATAGGAAGCTGTAGCATTCACAGATTCTCCAGGGGACAGCCCTATCTGTCTCCAAATGGAGGCTAATCCTCAAGCAGGCAGGAAAAACTGGCTTTCCAATATACCAGGGGAAAACAAGCCTGTTAGCTTGGATTACCAGAGAGAGAGGTAAAACAGCAAGGGGGAAATTCCTCTCCTGAGGCATGTACAATAGAAGCCAAGATGGTGCAAGAGGAGGTCCTTCCACTATGAGGCATGCTCAAGAGGAGTCAAATGGCAACATGAAAGGGAAGAAT